TCTCACCAGATCAGTTACAATTGAATAGTGAATTCCATCCTCACTAGGTGCCCTATGTTTTCACCCTTGTGCCACATCTAAGCTACGCTTAGGAAATCACCATATATACATACAATATTAACACCAATATATATATGTGTGTGTGTGTGTGTGTGCAATCTTAACCTCTTCAAGCCTCGGGTCAACCGACCTATCCTCGTAATCTTCACTTCTTATCTCCACCTCCGTACGTCCTTACAACAACCTCATTCAGTAACCCTACCTTGAGTGGCTTTTGGGGCCTTGTAATGGATGAGAAATAGTAGTGTGTGTGTGTGTGTGTGTGTGTGTGTGTGTATATATATATATATATATATATATATATATATATATATATATATATATATATATATACAGACACACACACAGAGAAAGCAAGCGCGACAAGGGTGGGTAGATATGCCAGTATCGCATGTGTAATATATTTTTCTCTATAAAGGAAAGCTGCATATCTCATTGGTGATGTAATGGTGGTCCACGTGCTATATTGCTCGTTGATTATTGCAAATGAGTAATGAGTCCGAGCCTCACTGGGAGGCTCCTACTTGTAGCTTTACTCCAAGCTAAGCTAAACATAATAAAATGGCAACTTCACGTGGTATATATACCTGCATTTACTTATAAACAGATACGAATATATGATTTTTTTTATCTCCATTACATATATATATATGTGTGTGTGTGTGTGTGTGTGTGTGTGTGTGTGTGTGTGTGTGTGTGTGTTTCTCTAGATTGATAAATAACTTAATAAATATTATTAAAAAACGCCGTATTTGGTTATATATATCTACCTATATATATCAAATTAGAAGATACTACTGTTTACTGGTCTAATTCAACTCTGACCATTAACATTTCATTATATATATATATATATATATATATATATATATATATATATATATATATATATGTATGAGTGGTCAGACTGATAAAATACATATCAAATACATTTTTAAATTATATTTAGTTATGAAGTAATTGGCGTGTTTATATATAAATAGATATTTAACTGTATACCCTTGTTTTCACTTTCTCTCTCTCTCTCTCTCTCTCTATATATATATATATATATATATATATATATTTATAATCGAATGGGTAAATATAGTTAGGCATACGAGCGAGCGATTTTATACAAATACATATAGATACTCTATAGTTTAAGAAAAAACAGTGCTCAATGTTAAGTAACAGAGCTATTTAATATATATATATTAAGAAATATACAATGTATATTACTTAGACAAAGAGAATATATACATACATACATATATATATATATATATATATATATATATATATATATATATATATATATATATATTCCTGTGTGCTAATACTTTTCTGTGTGTGTCAATCATTTTCAACAAATCTCTTCCTTCGTTTTAAGTATGAAAAAGGAAATTACGCTCATGTATAATTTAGATAGATATATCAGGTAACTTGGAGTACTCACTATATGTGTGTGTGTGTGTGTGTGTGCGCGTGTGCCTGTATACTTAGGCTTTTTTATTTATCTAATTTATCTAAACTTAAACTTAGCAATCTTCCTTTTCTTGTTATCAACAACTGTATGACTATATACTTTATACATGCGCGCGTTTACCTATACATACATATATATATATATATATATATATATATATATATATATATACACACACACACAGAAGTTAAGGTCGAATATTTAAATACAAGCTGAATTCCTACTGTAAAGTCGAACACATGCGCTGTCGTGCAGACGGAGTCAAAATCGTAAGAATTATTACAACTGCTAACTCCAACGCTCCTCTCTCCAGCAAAATTCCAACCAAACGACTGAACCATCACACCCGCTACACACAATGAAAAACAAGCAAAGAAAACAATCTGTTGTACTACGTAGAAATATGACATACGTACAGTCTAATAAAGTAAGAATATTGTCATTACCTGGGTAGAAAATGAGTTTGTGAACAAAACACGGTCGTCAGCTCATACACACACGCACGATCGCCGATCAGTGTCCACTGAAATTGCGTTTGTTAATGTTCGACATCCCGAAACTAAACGGTCACAGCCATTCACCCTGGTCAGTCAAACCTTGTTATGCCAGAGGTAGTAAAAACAAAAACTCCTCCATCTCAATTGTCTTATTCCGGTCTTCCCATAGCTTCTCGTTCGATTGAGTTTTATGGAAATGTTTATGATTGTTCATCTTTTCTTTCAGCTCGTAAATATTTAGTTGCCTTCCTTATTTTAATATTTCAATAATATCCCCGTGTCTCGTCTTGTTACCAGTGAGGTAATGTTTTCTCATGCAGAGTAGTTAACTTTTTTCTTCTTTTAAGTTGTCCGTATGCTTCTACTAGTGTATGTATAATAAGTATTGACACGAACTGTATGGCAATCGACTGAATGCGTGTTTGTGTGTCACATATGAAGGAAATTAGTTCTACACACTAGGTGTGTGTTTTTGCTGTGTAAAATCCAGTTCTGTGTACGTATCCGTGTTCTTGAGCAAATCCACAACAAATATTTCATATGTACGTGCTAGTAAGAAAAAGCGCGAGTGTAGGTCTCTAGTATTTTCTGTTTGTTTTTTTTTTGGTGGGGGGGGGGTATTATTTTAATTCATCTTTTGTTGCTGTTTTTTTTTTTTGGCATCTCCTTTTTCTATATTTCTTTATATTCCTTCTGCTTATATATTTAAGAATTTCATTTTTCTCTTCGTTTTTTTTCTCTCTCCAATTTCTATTATATTTTTTCTTTTCCGTTAACTTTTACTTGAAATATGTTTTGTTTCATTTTGGGTTTTTTTTTTCTTGCTTTTGTATTTCAAGTAAATTGAAAACCGAGTATTGAATCGTTCAACATTTAAAATAAATAGTTTTTTGGGTTTTTTTTTAATCCTCAGACGGATCGAGGAAATACAAACATTAAAATAAGTAATTGAAATCAATATGATAAATTCCACTTAAATGACGTCAGTTATACACGTAAGCAGAAAAAAAACAGAGAGAAATAAATTTGACCTGTGACTGGGCGGGGCGGTAAAAATTAAAATAATAACTCGACAGGAAGACAAGCAGAAAATTATCTTAAGAATCAAAGAGAGATGAGCGATGAGAGTGAGAGAGGGAAAGAAACTGTAAACATTACACAGCGAGAAGGAACAACGTCTCACAGGAGAAGAAGACGTCAAGAAATCGATGTCGGTAATTTGGAAGTCGAATAGATGACTTGGGCGCTACAGAGCAAAATGTAAAAGGGAAAATGTAGAGAGAGAAAGAGAGGAAGACAAAGAGAGAAAGCGCGAGAAGTCAGCAACGAAGAGACGGGGGATAAAATGTACTTCCAGAATGTGTGGACATGCAGGCTTTTAAATACGCTCCTGTGTGTATGCAAAAGCGTACCTCCGTAGACAACTGTATCTTAAGTGATTTGTGCAGATAGATAGATAGATAGATAGATAGATAGATAGATAGATAGATACTCATGCTAACATGTGGGTGGGCTTGTCTATGACTTCACACTGCATTGAAAGCAATATATATCTAACGTTTTTCAGCTCAATGTGTTTGAAAATGCGGATTGATGTCAGGGGAGATAATTTGTAAGGTAAATGAAAAAATATTCATTTCTTCATAAGATTTGGTTTAAAATCATTTCATATTTTACTGTCTCTTTTTAGCTCGGAAATGCTTTAAATAAAGATGTTACATTAACAATTTTTGATAAAAAAACAAAAACATACGTATACGTTATGGTGCTGTTGTCTGTGCGTTCTACTCCGAAATGCTATGTCCCTTCATGTCTTGGACGATCATGACTCTTCCATTCTTTGTAGCTCTTCTTTTTCTACCCATAATCCCTGTTCTGACATCCATTTGCACAAACTCGTTAGGTAGGTTTCCTCTGTCCCTCTTGCCTACAGTATGTCTGTGAGTGTTAAATTTTCTAAGCCTGCTTTCCTCATTATGTGACCTAGAAATTTCAACTGTCTTTTTATGAATCTAAGTATAAGTGTCCTTTTTGTTTCTTTTCACTTTAAAACTTCATCATTGCTCACATGTTCAGTCCATGGTATTCTCAGCATCCTTCTGTAGAACCACATTTCTGTTGCCTCAAGTCTCGCATTCATCTGTGAGAATTGTCCAACATTCACTGGAAATAGGACTGATATTACATAGACATGGAATTAATTCAATAACTTTCCTTCCATAAGATTAAAGAAATATATTATTATTTGTGTGTGTATGAATAGCTGAATTTTGTCTGTGTTTTTAAGAGTAGCACTGAACAATATAAACATATGATATACTCGAATATTTCGTGATTGATTCATGCTCGTCTATTATAACCTTGTGCTCGATTTGGCGCCTAACTGACATGAGTTCGAGTCGCAATGGGTTCCATACTTTCGTGAAATCATGACAGGCATATATATAAATATTATTTGTTAGATGGCCATTTTCTTCATCTGTAAGGAGATTGCCCAGCATCCAATGCCATATAGGAAGACTGATATTGCACAACAGTCCAGTACTCTCTTCTTTTTCTGACATTTTTTCTGTTTCTTAATACTTTACTTAACTTTTGGAAGGCTTCTTAAGCTATCCCAATTCCCCTTCGAGTTTCGGTGTCGCATTTTCCGTCCTCTGTTAAAACACTTCCACAGAAGCATTACTAAGTACTAAGAGAATAATGATTGATTTATTTGTTTTTTAAGGCTTATCAACCTTTTGAACCAGAACATGTTTTTAGACTGTATTTTCTTTTTAGAAATAATAATGGTTTCAGTGATACAAGTTCTACTAATTTACCCATAGCGGGGGAGGGGAGAAGAGTTCGATTCATGCCTTTTCCAAGGGTATTTGCAGGTAAGTCAATATAACGAATCCAACTGGAATTAGAACTCGGCTCTCCGATTTCAAATTCTCAGCCGTTACCCATCACACCACTCCGCACATCCAAATTTACAGCACCTGTTATTACCAAGAGATCACCGATCTGGGTACTAACCAGACTCGGCGTTCCTTAACTTCGGTGATCGTATGGTAACCAATGTTTCGACGTGATATGACCGTAAGACTAAGAGGATAAGACTCTTTTACGCATAATGTAAATGCATTGCTAATCATTTTAATTTATGAAGTTATTGAAAACCAGAAAGAAAGGGATTGTTAGTGATAATTAATCAAGATAAGCGTTACAGCTATAATTTTTCATGCCATGTCCGTTCAGAATGTAGGCGATCATGGCTCTCCACAGATTCTTTTTTATGTTTTATCTATAAATTCAGTCAGTTATGTGCTACGCGTGATGCACGCTTAGGCGATCATGTATCTTTTGATACATGACTGACGAGGCAGATTTCTTCCCACCGTAGGTTTCTTTCTACGGTAGACCAGTTGCCATCCAAGGCTATAGAACACAGTTTGTCCTGCTATTTGCCCATAGCTAGGGGGAGAAGAAGAGGATTCATACGTACTAACACGTGAGTGAATCTAATGGAATTGACTGGAATTCGAACTCTGCTCTCCGATTCCTTGATCCGAGCTTCTGTCCATTATTCTACTGTGCCTCCCTATATCTGTAAATTGCGATAATGTTTTGGGGAAAAATAGCGGTGTGGTTTCTCGTTGCCTTCTTTACTGTTTTCACTTCAGACTTGTTTTTTTCCATTGACTGGCTAGTCCTTTGTCTGACGATAAAAGTGCATCCGACCTCTGATCGGGAGATTCGAGGTTTTGAGAAGCGTGGAACCACTTCTTCATTGCTGTTGTTCCCAGGTCCACCCTGACCCGGGATGTTAGCACCTGTTAGGGTCCCAGCTATGGGCAGATAGTGACCCCCAAAAAAATGCTATGAAAATGTGAAAGTACATTTTCGTGGTAAAAGTACTCGCAATGCAATCTTCTACAAAGAAGTTACAGGCAATATATATTTATAGTAAAATTGCTGCCAATACATTTTTATAGTAAAAATACCACCAATACATTTTTATAGTAAAATGACTACCAATGCATTTTGATAGTAAAATTTGCAACAATACATTTTTATAGTAAAATTTCCAACAATACATTTTTATAGTAAAATGAACAATACATTTTTTTAGTAAAATAACCACCAATACATATTTATAGTAAAATGACCCCAATACATTTTATAATAAAATTACCAATACATTTTTAAATTACTGGCAACACTTTTAAAAATGTAAATGCATTAGTAAAAGTTTTAATGTATAAAGACATTGATAATAGTTCACTTATTAAATGAATTATTTTATGGAAATACCTCCGAAATTATGAAAAATGTATTGTCAGTGGTCAGGAACCAAGGAATTAGTTACTGACAGAATAAGGCTAATATATGTATAAAATAAATGCATTAGTGAAGGTTTCAATGTATAAATACATTACTAATATTTCAATTATATAATGCATTGTTTTATGCAAATACCTCAGAAATTATGGGAAAAGGTATTGTCATTGGTCAGGAATCAAGGAATTGGTTACTGACCAAATAAGGCTATTATATGTATAGGATAAATGCATTAGTAAAGTTTTAATGTATAAATACATTAGTAATATTTCAATTATAGAATGCTTTGTTTTATGGAAATACCTCGGAAATTATGAAAAAAGTTATTGCCAGTGGTCAGGAATCAAGGAATTGATTAATGTCCGAATGAGGCTATTATGTGTATAAGATAAATGCATTAGTAAAGGTTTTCATGTATAAAGACTTACCTAATATTTCAATTATATAATGCATGGCTTTATGGAAATACGTCTGAAATTAAGAAAAAAGGTATTGCCAGTGGTCAGGAATCAAGGAATTGGTAACTGTCCGAACAAGGTTATTATATGTATAAGATAAATGCATTAGTAAATGTTTTAATGTATGAATATATTACTAATATTTCAATTATATAATGCATTGTTTTATGGAAATACCTCGGTAATATTGAAAAAAGGTATTGCCAGTGGTCAGGAATCAAGGAATTCGGTTACTGTCCGAATAAGGCTATTCTATGTATAGGATAAATGCATTAGTAAAGGTTTTAATGTATAAATACTTAACTAATATTTCAATTATATAAAGTATGGCTTTATGGAAATACGTCTGAAATTATGAAGACAGGTATTGCCAGTGGTCAGGAATCAAGGAATTGGTAACTGTCCGAATAAGGCTATTCTATGTATAGGATAAATGCATTAGTAAAGGTTTTAATGTATAAATACATTACTAATATTTCAATTCTATGATGTATTGTTTTATAGAAATACCTTGGGAATTATGAAAAATGTATTGCCAGTGGTCAGGAATCAAAGAATCCTGGCAGAATAATATGATATTTTATAATTGCCCTTGCGGATAAGATTAGCTGATATAAGAGAGAAAAGATGCTTTTGTAGGAAAAAGCCAAATTTCTGTTTCTGCCAGTAACAACAATAAATACTATTCGACTTGAGTGTGTTATTGAGTGTTGAAAACGATGAAAAAAAAAATGATGGTGGGGGTTATCTCTTGAGTTCAAACGAAGATAAAAATCAATAAATCGCCTTTTATTCAATATCGTAAGAATACAGAATAAACCGTTGTATCTCGATAGACTTTTTTCTTCTTTTTTTTTACACTTGACTATGATCACAACACTGTGTGCCCCTTTTTGTGGTATTGAACCAAAAAATATCTAGGCTCATTAAATTCATAGTATATAAAAAGGCAGTAAAATAATTAGCATAATAATTTCAGGTTTTCTTCTTCCTATGTGCCATGTCCCTTGAAGACATTAGCGACAATGGCACTCCACAATTACCTGCCTTTTGTAATTATTATTAAATTTTGTCTCCTAAACCTTGTTCAGCCATTCTCTTACACAATTGTCTTAGGTATGTCGTGCGTTGCTTTCCTCTGTCACTCTTGTCTTCAATATGTTCTGTGGGTATCAAATTTCCCATATTATGTGCCCTAAAAATTTCAACTGACTCTTTCGGATGTTAAGTATAAATGTCCTTCTTGTTCCTATTTTCTCTAAAACTTCATCATTGCTCACATGTCAAATACATGGCATTCTCTGCATCCTCTGTAGATCCACATTTCTATTGACTCAAGTTTCTTCATCTTTTTTTCTATTAGTCATTTCACCCCAAGCAAGGCGATAATGCCACTAAGATGCAAGGGGTTACTGGGAGTGAAAGAAAATAAGAAGATTTTAGTGAGGAGAATTGAGAAAAAAATAACAAAAGAAAAGGATTCAGGACCACAGAAGATGGCAATTGGTCTTGAAGTTAAATTTTTGCAGATTGTAATTGTCAGGGAAGCAAGAAATCCGAAGGAAGTTTCACAGGCCGAGATGGTTTGTTTATAATAATTACAGGTACCTATATATAATAGTTACAGGTACTTATATATAATAATTACAGGTGTCTATATATAATAACTACAGGTACATATTTATAATAGTTACAGGTTCTTATATATAATAATTACAGGTACTTTTTATAATAATTACAGGTACATATTTATAATAGTTACAGGTACTTATATATAATAATTACAGGTACCTATATATAACAGTTACAGTTACTTTTTTTATAATAATTACAGGTACCTATATATAGTTATAGGTACTTATATATAATAATTACAGGTATCTATTTATAATAACTACAGGTACATATTTATAATAGTTACAGGTTCTTATATATAATAATTACAGGTACTTTTTATAATAATTACAGGTATCTATATATAATAATTACAGGTACCTATGTATAAGTATTACTGTTACTTATAATAATTACAGGTTATTTATATATTTTCGCTTGGTACAAGTTTCCAATATTGAGTCATGCAGAAGTTTCGCACTCGCCACACAATCGTAATTTTGCTCCTTGAGATCCTTAACCATCGCCACAAACAGCTTCTATTATCTTTTTTTACTAATACAATACCCAAGAGCCACTCATGGTAGGTTGCTGCATGGACGTAGGAATGAGATGAGAGAAGCATGTGTAGATACGTACGATAGGTAACGGCTAACACTCGACTTGAACAGATTAACATTGTTCAGGGAAGCGTTCTCTCGGGACTCTGTTCCATAAAACCGCAGCTCTTCGGAAGAAGCTGTCAGAATAGAACTTCCTTCTTACTAATGGAATATGAAGGGAATGAGGATGGTTCGCCCCTGTATATGTGGTATGGTCTGAACTGGTGGAATAAGGAAATGTAGCTCGTTTGAACCTTTTCCATGGAAATAGCGATAGAATATAGAAACTTGCGACGTTGCATCTTCGGGAGAGGGGTTATAGGTTGGAAGTAATCCATCGCCTATGGGGCAACTTAAACGCATCTGAACTCTGTCAAGGCTGGAAAGAAAGGATTGGACAGCTTTAGTCTAGATATGGCGATAATACTCCATTTTTTTTTTGTCTGATCTAACTCTTGGAAACATAGAGTATGTCGGGAGGAGCCAATTACTTTCTGGTGCGATATCAGGACCCGGACATTTTAAGCGATCACTTATCTAAATACTGAACCGATTCAAAAGATCATTTTTCATTAATTCCCGAGTTTGACACAAGGCTATAAGATGCTTACACTACCTGGTGTCTTGATACAGTCATCCAAACATAAATTAGATACCTTATTTAGTAATAGTTAAAAAGCCAGGTATAAGGGTACACGCTGACTACAATAATTCTTATTCCTACCCGTCTACGTATTAACAAGTACAGTGGTTCCAGGAGAATGATACGTTCAACGTTTCTTAATCGTAAGTAATTATAGTAATTATAACTAATTTTATTTTACTCTGTCATGGCTGCCTTCGAGAGTAACAGCCCTCAAGTTTGTATTTCGGGTGTAAAGGCCCTCATTGTTGTTTTAGGGAGTGATAACTTTCAAGGTTGATTATCGATTGTAACAGATCACAAAGTTGTCTTTCGTGGATAACGGCTCTCAATTGTTGTCATTCGGTTGTAACGACTACCAAGGTTGTCATTTGGGTGTAACGCCTCTGAAGATTGTCATTCGTGGATAATAGCTTTTAACTGCTCATGCTAAAGCCAGTACCCT